CTCTCATCTCGGTGAAATTAAATCCGTTTAACGAGTCGGAAATTTACTATTTGAAAAAAGACACGAAGCTGAAAGTGCGGTACGCTCGATAAGGGCAAAGAGAATATCTATAAGAGAAGAAATCGTGTATGTCTTAATAGGAACAAAAAAAAATAGCACTTATATAAAAAAAGAAAAAGAGGAAAAGAGTCATTTGTTTCAATAACGACGAAAGGAATATTTTATAGAAAAAAAAAAGAATCGTGAATCTCTTAATAAAAACGGAAAAAATAACTCGTAGAGGAGGAACGAGAAAAAGAAGAAGACTCGAAAATTCAAGGGAATCCTAACTCGAAAAGAGAACCTGGTTCAAAGGTCCCAACACGAAGACCGACAACGACGCCGAATGATTGTTCCGGAACATAAGTCTTCCGATATTCGCCCGCCTCGATTCCGGAATCGTTTATCGGAACAACAGGCATCCGAGGATAATCGCATCGGATGTAAAGCTTAAAGTTCCTCTTTAAGAGAATCTTAGGGAGGATTTGTGTACCGCGGCTCTTCTCTAACCGGCGTTTGACGAGTGAAAAACGAAGAAACTTGGCAAGAATTCGAGAAATAATATGTATAGGACATAAGAGGAATTCCCGCAGAGAGGAAGCGAAAGTGATCGTTAAAGGGAATCGACGTTGATTCTCCCGGGACTATCAGCTTGCGGGAAGGGATGCGGAAAAGTGCGTGTCACCCGAGAAAAGGTCAAAAAGCAGAAGTTCGCTGTCGGTGCGCGTATACCCGGAATCGATGGCGAGGAATCCGGCCTCTTTCCGCGGCGCGAATCGACGATGCGTTAATGGACCATCGAGGATCCTATCTGCAGGGAATACGGTAAGTACAGAGTAGGGAGTACCTGTCTCGAGAAATAAATTTTTAGGATTTTAATTGCGCCATAATTTGGCCGTAATCGGCGCGAGGATTCAACTCGTTAGTAAGGAATTATACAGGAGAGATTCGATCATTCGATCGATGCGAAACGTAAGAATCCACTCTCGGGCAAAGACGAGCGAAGGATCGAAAGCTGTTTCATCTCCGAAATAGGTGCTTGGTTCGAGATAAGAGACTCACCTTGACAGATGTAACGGGCGAGGTGGATCGAAGATCCTAGATTCCGACGAAGCGAGGACTGTCAAGGGCAGCGTGACACAGGCAGACCACAGCCGGCGGTTAAGATGCGCGAGCGCGTGCCTTGGCCGTTGCTGCTCCTGACCTTGTCGCTGCAGCGGTTATCGACGGTGTCGTTGATGCAATCGAGGATGCACAGCGAGGCGGTGCTGATACCCGGCGACATCGTCCTGGGAGGACTGTTCCCGGTACACGAGAAGGGCGGCGGCACCGCGTGCGGGCCCAACATCTACCATCGGGGCGTCCAACGTCTCGAGGCGATGCTCTTCGCCGTCGATCAGATCAATCAGCAGGAGCAGGTGCTGCCGGGCGTCACGCTGGGGGTGCACATCCTCGATACGTGCGGCCGTGACACGTACGCGCTCAATCAGAGCCTGCACTTCGTCAGGGCTTCCCTGTCCAACATCGACATCAGCGTGCTAGAGTGCGCAGACCGGTCGACGCCCAGGGTGAAAAAAACTGCCAGCGCGGGGCCCATCTTCGGGGTGATCGGTGGTTCCTACAGCTCGGTATCGCTGCAGGTGGCGAATCTGCTCAGGCTCTTTCACATCCCTCAAATATCGCCGGCTTCCACGGCCAAGGCGCTCAGCGACAAGACCAGGTAGATCTTTCCCTTTAAAGTTAAACGCTCAATAGAATTATTATAGTATTTATAATATTTACTTACAGTACTTTTATTCGTAAATATTACATTGATTAAAAAAAAGACTCGTCGTGTCTGTTGAATAAAGTTACGTAGAAATATACATACAAAATTTTCCCATCGAAAAATATAATTTTTCTTTCTCTCAGTATTCTTTCTTGAAAATTCAAATTAGTAATTTTATATAAAACAGAATTTAATAAAGAATGATAAAATGTAATAAACATGATAAAAATGATGAAACAATTTTTGCACCAACGGACATAAATAATTTTCAGACTATAATTGTGAAGGAGCATAATTAATTATATATTAATTATATAAATTTGTATTCGCGTGGATTGTATTATTGAAATGCGTATTTTGTGAATTTCTATTTCACGACTCTGTGTTTGAAAGACCTTTTTTCAAATTCATATTTTCTGAGTAAACTCTAACTTTTTCAGAAAAATTTATAAATTGATAAAACTCTACATATGAATTAAATATAAAATTATTAAAAATGGAGAGATAACGTTTTACGAGCTGACAAAATACTTACATTAAATGTTTAAATCTCCAATTCTCTGGAAACACGAATTCAAGAGCTATGCTCTGGAAGTAAACTCTTCAATTATTGGCTCTAACAATCGTTGATTCATCGAGTAAGATGTTGATTGTAATTAATGTGAACTTTTGACATTTCTATCAAACAGTTTGTAACATTGTTTGCCGACGTCGTGTATGATTGTTAGAAGACTCTTTCGACCCCTGTTTAAACAGTCGTTCTATATGACTTTAACAAGTACATATTTGAAGATACGACAGTTTAAACGTACGACGGGAAAATCGGCCAATATTTAAGAGCTATGAATTTTCATAATTAATCCTCTGGATTATTAATCATTAATTTCTTAGACTAACTGATCTCTTAATTAATTATTAGTCTACAGAATTAATTATTAATGATACAGGATTAAGAAAAATAATTTTTCTTTGATCAAAATAATTTCGTGGGGAAATTATTACTGTCTTTCAAATATAAATATATAATACGTAAATATATACATGTATAAAAATATATAACATGTATATAAAATATGAAATAAAAATAATAAATTCCTTAATAATAAAAATCATTCTAATAGTTTCGTGAAAATCCACAATTATTTATCAAACGATCAATCACGAATACCAACCCGAATAAAAATCAGTTCTCAATGTGTCGCGTTCACTGGTGATTCCTCAGGTTCGATTACTTCGCGAGAACGGTACCGCCGGACACCTTCCAGTCGATCGCCCTGGTGGACGTGGTGAAGAGCGCCAACTGGTCGTACGTCTCCACCGTTTATTCGGAGGGCAGCTACGGCGAATACGGTATCGAGGTGTTCACGCGCGAGGCGACGGAACGGAACGTCTGCATTGCGGCGGCCCTCAAGGTGCCCAGCGCTGCGGATGACAAGGTGTACGACGACATCATCCAACGTTTGAGCAAGAAGCCGAACGCCCGCGCGATCGTCCTCTTTACTCGGGCGGAGGATGCTCGCGGTATTCTCGAAGCCGCGAAACGATTGAACCTCAGCCAGCCGTTCCAGGTCAGAGATGTGGGAGAAAAGCTCTCCCGGAGAATCCCCGTTTGGTAACACGAAACCTCCCTTCCTCGCACGTTTTTATTTATATTTCCCCACACATTTTTTGATGAAATTTTTATTTAAAAAACAAGATACGGGATTCCGTAACATTATCTTCTCTCCTAAACAATGATAAACTACGAATATCTCTGTAGTGGTTGGCCAGCGACGGCTGGGGCCGACAGAGCAAATTGGTCGAGGGCCTCGAGGAAGAGGCCGAGGGCGCCATCACCGTCGAGCTACAATCGGAGAACATCCCCGACTTCGACGAGTACATGGAGTCGCGCACCCCCTACAACAATCGGCGAAATCCGTGGTTCGGAGAATACTGGGAGGAGGTATTCAGCTGCAAGCTGGGGAGGAACACGATGGCCATGGAGCGTTCTGGCCAACTGGTGGGATGGAGGGCCGCCAATTCCGGCAATCAGAGCATTGCCCCGTGCTCGCCTAAACTGAGACTCACGGCGGCGAGCGGCTACGAGCAGGAATCCAAAGTGCAATTCGTCGTGGACGCGGTGTACGCGTTCGCCCTGGCGCTTCATAATCTGCGCCGCGATCTCTGCCGGGACCGCAAGGAGGGCCTGTGCCCGTCGATGGCCACCTACGACCGCGGAGCGTTCTATAGGAATTATCTGTTGAACGTGTCCTTTATAGGTGAGTCCGATGAAACGGCGCCGCATAAAACGACGGAATAATCGGGAACGCGACGCGACGCGCCATTTGTTCGCCTCCTTTGTCCGCCGCCTTTTTCCGCTCTCGTTCTTCTTATCATCCTCCGTTGAGAATGCTAAAAGAATGCCGGAAGGAAAGAATGCTAAGGAAATGTTTGAAGGAATAGCGTTGGATGATATAATTGGTCTTAACGTAAAAAAATTGAATATTTATCTTAAATTTTCATCCTCTGGGATGGGAATAAAAACTTTTCGAAAAGTGAAATAACACAACGGTTAAACTTTTATATCAAGCGTAAAAACAATTGCTTGCTGGATCAATACCCGATTCACATCTCGATTCGCAAAAACTATTACGATTCTATATTCCACGCATATTGTGTTTTCGACGTATTTTTTTTAAAAGTAATTTCTGAATGTTTTGTCAAAGCTTTTTCTTATACATCACATTCCGTGGGCTATTGCCTCTCAGATCGTTAATTCGATTCGAGAACCTAATGCCGTTTCAGGGCTCGTAGCTGAATCCGTTGTTATCACGATCGTTACGATTTTGCAGACAACGCCGGCAGCGAGGTGAAATTTGACGAGCACGGGGACGGTCTGGCGCGATACGAGATCCTCAATTTTCGAAAGGGGACGAACAACAATGGCACGAACGGCTATCACTATCGGGTAAGGCTCATTCCGGAACGCCGTAATCACTGCGACACGCTATTATATCATTCGCCGATGCATAATTGAACAAACTGTCGCTTCTCGACGATAAGTTGAATTGGAACTCCCCGAGGAAGCCGCTTCTCGGCTTCTATAAAGTTTCATTTCCACGTCATCCCTTTCGCAGATGAGACGGAATTTTCTGGTGGTCGAACAATTTTAACTGTTCGAAGTTCAAATTGGTTGGATCCCTCGAGCCTGAAAAATTTATTTCGTTATTTCGAGCCTCTTTTCAAATATAAAATAACGAAAACAAAGTTTTATTTTATTCTGATAGAATGGAGATTTTTAATTCAAACCCACGCTATGGATTTTCAAATTCAAAGCTTTAGACATTGTAAAATTAATATCATCAGAGCTACTATATCGATTTCTCGCATATAATGAAAATAATATAATCTCGATTATTTTAAATATCGCTGTAAATAAATTCTATAGGGACCGATTGTTTTAGAGAGAAAGTTTTTGCTATTAATGTATGCTTTTGTTAAAAAATACCGATATATACGGTATTTAGAAGATGTTCTGGATATCGGTTTTCACATGTCTGCTTTCGGTAATACGCGTGTAAAGTCGGCGCGATCGATGATGCGACGCGGAATCGAATGAAACGAATGCGCAAAGGGGTGGCTCTACCTTTTTAACGAGTAATTAAAGTTGCGCCGTGGCTGTACTTTCGAGAGCCCTGAAAACTTGCGAGAAAACGTTTTCCATGAGGGAAAACCGATGCGAAATTAGATCCTCGAGCTCTAGGACAAGAAAAATATGACGGTGTTTAGAGTAAGAGAGAGAATCGGAAGTAATTAGGCAATAATTTGAGTTTAAAACTAAAAAAGAAAAATCGGACGATGATAAAAAAGTTTAAAAAGTAATTGCACTGAAATTTAATTATAATCTAAAGGATTATATATACGCAAAACAATATATATATATATACAATTTTTTCTTTACTGTTGTAATTATAACAATGAACGACGTAAATTGAATTTTTAAATTGCACAATTTCACGTATAAAATATTCACAAACAGATCTTGGAAATTTTTTATTTAATTTTCTTTCGATAAAATATAATTTTTGTATAAAATATATAAACGCGAAGAAAATGTTTATAAAATGTATTTATTACGTTATTCTATCAAAACGAACGTTTCCACTCATAATTAAAATTAAGCACGACAAAATTTAAATATCTCTCTCTCCCTCTCTCTCTTTTTCATGTGCAATTGACCAAAATTCGACGGAAGATTTGATCAGCTGCCAAATTTCGCGGACGGAATGCGCGATCGGAAAATTTGTGTATTGTGGGCGAGGATCATACGATGACACATCTGTTCTACAGGAGGTGGGCAAATGGTACAATTCCCTGGACATTCGCACGGAGGAGATGGTGTGGGCGCGAGGGACGAAGGACATACCAATCTCCGCGTGCTCTCTGCCCTGCGAGCCAGGTATGATAAAGAAGCAACAGGGTGACACTTGTTGCTGGGTGTGCGACCAGTGCGAGGCGTACGAGTTCGTCTACGACGAGTACACCTGCAAGGACTGCGGCCCGGGCTTCTGGCCGCACCTCGACAAACGAGGCTGCTACCAGCTTCCAATCAAGCATATCAGGTGCGCGCCCCTTCACGCTTTTTTTTTTCTTTACGAAATTTAAATACTTGACATTGTTAGGAGGCGTTATCGATCCTAAAAATACGTGACAAAAGGTTACAAAAATTGGTAATGTAAGAATTTTACTCCGAATAGTATAAAGATTATTTTAAAAAAGAATAGAAATTAATTTAATTTTAAGAACTTTTCTTCCCGATAAAAATTTGGAAAGGAGATTATTTATTTTAATTTTATTTGTTTTAATTTAATCCTTGTGATAAGAAATCGAAAGGTAATTACTTATTATTCATTAATGAAGACATCGACGTTCGCTTTCAGGTGGAGCAGCGCCTTCGCCATCGCCCCCGCGGTAATATCCTGTCTGGGAATCGTGACGACCCTGGCGGTGGCGTGCCTGCTCTTCCAACATCGCGACACTCCGGTAGTTCGTGCCTCCGGACGAGAACTCACCGCGATTCTGCTGGCGGGCGTGCTCGTCTGCTACCTGAACACCTTCCTGCTACTCGCCACGCCGACTACGGCGACCTGCGTCCTGCAGCGCTTCGGCGTCGGCGTCAGCTTCAGCGCCGTGTACGGCGCTCTGCTCACCAAGACCAACAGGATCGCCAGGATCTTCGATTCGGCCTCGCGGTCCGCCGTCAGACCGCGATACATCAGTCCGACGTCCCAAGTTTGCATCGCGGCCGCGCTGATCGCCTTTCAGGTAAGTGGATCCCGATCTTGATAGGATAAAGTTCCCATTTCGAACCGAGCGCTCGTTTGAGAGAAATATCTGTATCTTGTCTCGCTATCGAGATACTGTAGTCAATTTCTCTTTTGTTAATGTTTATTTATTCATTTAACATTTATTTATTCATTTAACATTTATACATTTTGCAACCACACGAGATTTTCGTAATGCGTAGCAGCAAATTAAATAAACACGCGATTGTTAATTAAAACGAATGACGCAATGGTTGTGTAATTGTAAGGCGATTAATTGTTCATAGTTAAATCATCTGCGCAATAGTACATTTAATAAAGACCTAATGAGATTATATATGTTTGTTTATTTATTTATTTACTTAGTGCGTAACACGTGCTGTTCGTATGTTGAATAAAAAGAAATGAAATATGTGATTATTAGCACAATTAATCAATTGATGTAATAAAATCGCATTATAATTATAAGGCAATATTAAATGCAATATTAAAGACAATATCAAATTAATTATCTGTGCAATAATACATATTTATAAAAACTTAATAAAGAAAAAAATATCGAGCCATAAAAAATCTAAAAAATGCAAATTTGCAATTTTGTAAATTCCAATATTTGAGCACAGTTTCCTCGGATTCTTAATAATTTTTAATAAGAAAAGTTTACAAATCCGTAAATAGAATCTTCGCGTGTTTGACACGTATCGAGATGAAAGATATCTCAACATTCGGTTCGAAATAGGCGCTTTACCCTTATCTCGCGCGTTTTTCGGTTTCTCTCGTCCGTCACGAGACACATAGACAGACAGAGATGGCTTTCCCGAGGTGGTGCTCACGCTAATCTGGATGATCATCGAGCCGCCGGGCACCAGGTACTCGTACCCGGATCGCCGCCAGGTGATCCTCAAGTGCAACATCCAGGACATGAGCTTCCTGTTCTCCCAGCTGTACAACGCCCTGCTGATCCTCGTCTCGACCGTGTACGCGGTGAAGACGCGCAGGATACCGGAGAACTTCAACGAGAGCAAGTTCATCGGCTTCACCATGTACACCACGTGTATCATCTGGCTCGCCTTCGTGCCGATTTACTTCGGCACCGGCAACGCCCACGAGACGCAAATCACCACCCTCTGCGTGGCGATCAGCCTGAGCGCCTCCGTCACTCTGGTCTGCCTCTACTCGCCCAAGGTCTACATCATTGTCTTCCAGCCGGAAAAGAATATACGCGGCAAGGTCTACATGGGCAGCACGTTCAAGAAGCAGGGCAGCAGCGCCGGCGCATCGTCTATGACCAAGTGTGAGGGTCTCAAAGATATAATCTCGAATCACGTGATTCCGTACCGAGGGAGGGTTTCTCGTAGATTTTCTTTTTACGACAAAACACAATTTACCACGACCCGCAAATCGATAAAACAAGAAGAAAAAGGCGTTCCTTTTCCTCTCTTATTCTGAAAACACACGCGACAATGCGATCGATCGCATTATCTTTCCGCTACATTCGATATATCGTTTCGTTTGATAACGCGTGAATAATGTGCGCGATAATTATTTATCTAATGGAATAAAAATATGCAAAGTGATATTTTAAAAGAGCATAAATATAATCTCGAATCACGTGATTCCGTACCGAGGGAGGGTTTCTCGTAGATTTTCTTTTTACGACGAAACAATTTACCGCGACCCGCAAATCGATAAAACAAGAAGAAAAAGGCGTTCCTTTTCCTCTCTTATTCTGAAAACACACGCGACAATGCGATCGATCGCATTATCTTTCCGCTACATTCGATATATCGTTTCGTTTGATAACGCGTGAATAATGTGCGCGATAATTATTTATCTAATGGAATAAAAATATGCAAAGTGATATTTTAAAAGAGCATAAATCTATAAATGTCAATTTTTTTCTTTTTAAAAGAGATTCTTGGGAAAAGATAGCGAAGAAATTATGAAGATGTTTTAAAAGGAAGAACGATTACGTTAATTCGTATGAATTTTTTATTCGATTTTAAATAAGCTTCATCTGCGAACTTGATAATCGTCACGCGGGATCACGTGCGTCGCGCGCGATGACGCGTTTTTCTTTTTATCCGTGGCATAATAAGAATAAATATGAAAATAATATTTCTTTTTCAAGAGAGCTAGCTTTAAAGGGGACCTGTAGCACAAATCCAACTTCCCGATTCGCGATACATCCGAAAAATCCGACATATGACATCCGAGCCGACGACGACGAATCGCTTCGTCATCCCATTCGGGGCTTTCATTCGAAAGAAAGTAATCGATACGCGGGAGACGCGACGGCTTGATATTCGATAGCGTAACGGCGGCTCTCTATGGATGTAGCAGCTCCTGGCTGGAATCTGGGCCAATCCTAGCGCGGATTTAGAAGCGCTTTTCGTTTATTAAACGTTTTATTTATAACGCAGAGATCACCAAACATTTTTTTAGAGAACGCGAGTTTCATTTACTTACGTACTTTCCAAACGCCATATCAATCGACTCTCGACGTTTATTATATCCGGGATGCTATAAATCATTTTATTCCTACCGTTGCTTTGTGATTAACAATCGTTGGTTATTACGCGGCAGCGGCTATGCAATCGTGAAAGGGATTATAGGACGAGCGAGCGAGCGAGCGATCGCGCGCGCTAATGGTCGGCTCGGACGATTCTGCCCTAAGCGGTGCTAAATTATTAAGTTAATACCGCTTCACTCTCCTTTGTCCTCTTGTGTAAATTTATAGGTGGATTATTCGAGGAGAATTTGGGAAATTTCGTGCCGTGACACGTGACGGTATTATAAACGAGTATTACGTCTCATATAGCTTGTACTTTGTATGAGACAGCGATTACGTAATAGGTCCTTTTCCTTATCCTGCGAATGAAATGAGAAAGAGACGTGCAAAAACTTAACTTGAAATTTTGTTACCGATATATTAAATTAATATTATATACGTGCTCATGAAATAATGATTAATTTTATGTTATTAATTTAACGTTTCAAGATACCGGACAATTCAAAGGAAGATTACTTATATTACTGAGGATATATAAAGATACTTATATATTAAGTGACATTAATTGTTAAATTTTAATTCAAATCTTAATTTTTTAAACGAGATTTTTGTCCGCCCGGTAACGATTGATTGATGAGAAATAATTTTTTCAATTTTTTTTTTTTATTTTATCGCAGTTGGTTACGCTTCAATGAAGAACCGTGGAAATCCCGAGGGTACCAAGCGCGTCGCGTTCCGTGCACTTAGCCTAATTCCGGTTCGCTCTTCTCACGATTAATGGCTAATGAAATTTTCATTTTGCAGACACAGGTTGCGAGTCGGCGAGCGAGAACGTACCCCTGCAGAGCGCCCTAACCGCGGCGGTGCGGACGTCTGTGGGGGTCACCGAGATCTCGCTAACGTCCAGCACCACCAGCAAAACTAATAACGAGCAAGTGGCGCAATTATAGACCTTTACACACACACACGCACACACATACACGCACACGCGCGCACAGCCTTCGTAATTATGTAAATCATTGAACGCCGAGGCGCGTTCAGAAAGATTAAGATTGATAAGAAATTATACATCCCGACCCGTTGATTCTTAAACTTTAATTTAACTTATTAAAGAGATTAATAATTGAATTAAAATTTAAAAATCGACATTGAAGACGCTGAGCGTCTCGCGTCGCGATTATCATCGTTATCGTTCACATCATTCTATAGTCAATCGAGGATGAGAGAGAAATGTCGAGATTATTGATCGTTACCATGATCGCTGTTGTCGTTATTGTTACTGTTATTGTGCATAAATTAATACGCGCATACACATAGGACATACACATGTACGTGCATTTATCGAGATCAAGCTGATATACCGAGTGATCCACTAATTCTAGTCGAGCACCTCACAATGTATGATTCAATTCTATTGGATTGCGCGAGATATAAATGTAGTTTTTTCGTATCTCGATTTCACTTATTCGTTGATCTATTTATTTGTTTATTTATCCGAGGGAGGACGTTTAACGTTCCCTAAGAGAGCGCCTTTCGATGAGATAATCGTATATACAGCGGACAATAAATAAATGTACTTAAAGCGAATACATTTATCGGACCGACTCCAGTACCGAGTGTATTAATCAAGAATACTATGTTCCCACCCGGTTGTTTCTCAACCTTCTCTTTTCGTACTTATTTTAATAATCGCGACTCACGAAACTGATCAAACGGTGTTTCGGAGAAAATTTCAAATAATTATCTAGAGACATAGCGTTTTCGGAAAAGAATAGATATAATTTATCGTCCCCTGATATATAAGATAAAAATATAATGTTATGTATACATATATCTACTATATCTTTTTCCTCTGCCTTCTTTCTATTAAATTAAAAAATCCTATATAGAATTTTGTTTTAAACGTTTGATCAATTTTGCGAGTAATTGCAAGAGGGGCGTTATTATTGTATTATCGACGATTAAATCGCTCGACTCCCGCGGCTGTCGAAGCCAAAGCGACGTATAAAAAAAAAAAAAAAAAAAAAAAAATATCTTTTCTATTGTAACGAGCGCGCGCGGTGCGAGAGAGACGAAAATCGAACTTGGAAAATAAAACAATTATTGAATGGCGTATCGAGAGCGTGTATCTATTTCCACCTGCTATCCATCTCTGGGGAAAAAATAAAATTAAAAAAAAATAAAAAAAGCATTCGAAATCGCAACATGATAATTCCACGAAATTCAATTTCCCGTGTCCTGTATGCAAAAACAATAAACATTCGCTGCTATTCCGTTATCGTGTAATACAAAATCTAATGAGTAAAATGCAATACAAGTACATGATGTGTAATATAAAAAACAAATAGATATATAAAATCAGTAAAAAATAAATCCATCAAAATGAAAATAGAAATTTCCGCCTCTCGACGCCTATGAGGATTTCCTTTTCCATTATCTACTGCATTCTTTCTCTTTTACAACACAAGAGGGGGCTTTGAATCCTTATCTTTGATAATCATATCCCGAGAAATAGTTCTAATGCTACCATTGACGCTTTTACTACATTTTATATATTTAAGACATCTCTCCGATCAAGTTGTCTCACAATAATTTTATTGACTAATTGTGATATCGAGATCATACGATGCTCGAAATGCGTAAGTGGAATACGTGTCTATCATGAAAATGAACTCGATGTGATTGCGTAATTTCGTCTCGTGAATAAACATGCTTTCTCAGAGCGTGCGAGTGATAACGCACATTCGATAGTTACGAGTATTATACTCCCGCGAGTTATCGCGTGTCTCCTCCTCGACCGGATTGGATAGAGATCAACCGATGGCTCTTTCTTGGCGACTATTGACGGCCGTACGAATGGTAAGTATTCGAGCAAGTTTACGTTTGCCAGGAAAAAAATTCCAGGTGAATAAAAGCGAGGTGGTTCGACGAGATTTAAGCAGTGCCACGTGCCAACGTCAAACGTCAACAAGCCCCACAAGTCGGATTGAACTCTGGCACTCTGCCAATATAATCAGAGACCTCTAAACACAACGAGTCGATTGGCGTTTGGTGCGCGTGCCGATTGTGAAGTAAATAACAGTGATCGTGAAATAAACATCAGAATGCATCTGTTGATTTCATCACGAAAATGAAGAATGAGAATTTCGCTCTTCCATTGAACGATTACTTTTCAATAATAGATGCTTTGATCAATTTAAAATTAATTTTCGAGTTATACATTTAAAAAGCAAATATCTTTTTTCTAACAAAATCATGGCGATCCCCTTCAACCGAGGAGATAATTCGTTTCCAAATTATCTCCAAAGAATCTGTCATTAAGAAATAAGAATAGAATAAAAATATAATAGTATGATGTATAAATAAAAAGGACAATGAAAATATGTTGCTACAAGTAAAATACGTTATCCTCTGTATCTTCGAATCGGTTTACAGCTCCAATTTAATCCGCAGATTATAAATTGTTCTTTTATATTAATATTATTTTACCTTTTAATATCTTTCATCTTATTGCACAATCGTTTTGATTCAAACTATACACACCTGTCCTATAATTTTGCGAAACTCTATAGACCTCGACTTTAAACGTACTTTACTGATAGTGTCGTTCATCACTCAATAAAATTGTTGTTATCTGTTATTATACTCGCCAGCGACGGAACTTCTCTGTTTGCGCAGGCTGAGAGATCACGCGGCCCGATATGCCGTTTCTTGTCGACCAGCATGGTTCGTTCCGGCAAAGTGGTGCCCTTTCAACTGTCAGATATCGGCGAAGGGATTCGGGACGTCACGGTGAAAGAATGGTACATTGTGATAACATTCCATTTTTCTTCCTCTCATACATTTATTCGGATCCGGATGACGATGCGCATACACAACACTCTGTGGAATTTAATACAATATATTAAAAACAAATTTTTTTAAATGTTTTATATTTTCTTTCTCTCTTATAGAAAGAATTATGAAAAATCTAAATTTCAGACACATCAGTTTTATATTTTTACATATAATATCAGAGAAATAATTTCTCCAACTCATTTAACTTTTAATAATTAAATTAATTTACTGCTCGTAATATATTTAATTAGAATAGTATCCATCTCTCTATCTTTCTTCTAAATGGAGTTAATCCAACGATGTGTCACTTAATATCACACGAAATATTCTAGGTTCGTGCAACCGGGTGATCGGGTGAGCCAATTTGATAAGATCTGCGAGGTGCAGAGCGACAAGGCGTCGGTGACGATCACGAGTCGCTACGACGGCTTCATCAAAGCGCTACACTTTAACGTGGACGACGTCGCCTTGGTCGGGGCGGCGTTGTTGGATATCGAGATAGAAGACGATTCAAAGGATGCCGCGAAGGATTCGGAGGGAATTAAAGAGGGCGACAAGGAACAGGCGATTGACGGTTCTGACAGGAAGAAGGATATAGACGAAACGGAATCGCAGGAAAATATTGTGCAGAAGATATTGGCGACTCCGGCGGTGAGGAAAATTGCCATGGAGAGCAACGTAAAGCTGAAAGACGTAGCGGCGACTGGCAAAGATGGTAGGGTGCTCAAGGAGGACGTACTGGCTCATCTGCGGAAGATTTCCGCGACTCCGGAAGTTCGAGCGGAAGTTTCTCCGGGGACGAATGTGACGGGAACGACGGTAGGGTTGAAGGGATATTCAAAACACATGTGGAAAACTATGACGAGGTCCTTGGTAAGTCATCGAGATGCTAAAAATATATATATACACAGATCTTAACTGCACATAAATTTCGTTAAAATGCTATAAATTCAATTAACTTCAATTATTATTTGATGCAAAAAATGTCTATGTCCAATTTCGCCTAGAATTTTTTTTATTAAATTCTATAATTAATAAATTTCCTTCACTTTTTATACAAAAAAGAGTTTTACCTTTTTACGAACTTCTTGCAGAGTATACCTCACTTCGTCTACAGCGACGAGTGCAACGTGAATCGGGTGATTCAGTGCCGAAACGAGGTGAAGGACTCGTTGAAGGACGGGGGTGTCTCTCTGACCCTAATGCCGTTCTTCGTGAAGGCGGCCTCGCGAGCATTGGAGCGCTGTCCCGAGTTGAACGCCTGGCTGAACGAGGAGGATCAGACACTGCGAATCCTGGACAATCACAATATCGGCATCGCTATGGACACCCCGGAGGGCCTGGTGGTGCCCAACATCAAGAACGTGCAGAATCTTAGCGTTCTCGCGATCGCGCGGGAGCTTAACAGACTCCAAGAGCTCGGCAGGAAGTCGTCGATACCGCTTGGCGATTTGGCCGACACGACGTTCTCGTTGTCGAACATAGGTGTGGTAAGTTCGTACACAATTACGTTATAAACGGAGAAATTATTTCGAGGCCTATCAAGGACCATGATCTATGATCCTCGACGGTACCAAAATTGGAATTTAATTATATTGCAGCCAAAGGCTTCATTTTTTTAACTTACATTAATCATATTCTCAGTCGCAATCCAAGTGAATCGATAAAAATGACATAAATAATATAAATCGTGGGAATCCAGGACTCTCGTTAGAAGCTAAAAGTCGAGTTGTATTGTGGCAATAAATCGTATTGATTTAGATCGGTGGAACGTACACGAAGCCGGTGATCCTGCCGCCGCAGGTGATAATTGGCGCGTTCGGAAGGGCGCAAAGGCTGCCGCGATTCGACGATGAGGGAAACGTGGTTCCGGCCCATATAATGTCGGTCAGCTGGTCCGCGGATCATCGTGTTCTCGACGGCGTCACGGTGGCAAAGTTCTCCAACCTGTGGAAGCATTATGTGGAGAATCCGGTGCATTTGCTGATCGGCGCGTGACGAGGAATCTAATCTCGGAGTGCTTAAAAAATCGATGACGCGTTTCTCATTCTTGTAATCTCATTTTACATTAGGATGTTTAAAATGAAAATATAGCTGAAAATAAAAAATAAAAAAACACGTTATAATTTTTTTTACACACTAATACTCCCTCTCTCGCGTATGACTCTTTTGTAAAGCATGAAATTCTTACTATTTTAAGATCGTGGAATAATTGCGAGGATTTTTCAGTTTTCTTAGCAAATTTACTCGAGAGATCGCGAGTATAAGAGAATCGAGCGTACTTTTGTAAAAGTATCACGTCACTTGAACACGATACTTGAGATTCGATCGTAAGAGACTTAAGAGCGTATCGTAAAACTGAAGCTTTTACGACGAGATGCGACATTGCATATGCAACGATCCGATAAAAAGGAGGAGGAGCCATTCTCAGCCACTTTTACAAAATGATTAATGTTGTTACACCGAGATGTTTCTTTATGCGAAATAGCGTCGTAAGATGAATCGCGTTTAAATCACTTTGTACGTAAATATTAATTTATTTATTGCTGCACAACCAACTAGGACTTCTCGTTAAAGATCAGACATCTTCCACTAACATATTCAAAATGCATAGTAATTGTATATCAGAAGACGACGTCCGGTAGAGAACGCGAGTAATTTCTTTGTACATCGATCCGTTACAAACTATAAATTATTCATGTGACAACCATAATTGAACGCACGCTAACGAAGTGGTTGTACCGCGATAGACAGATATTGTAAGAACGACATAATCGTTCCCCGGATAAACGTGAACATTGCAAAACGCAATAATCAATATCATCGATCATATCGAATTTTTTAGAACGAAAAAGAAATATCCGGCATAGAAACAAAAAATTCGCCTTGAAATTCCTTTAATATACTACAAATAAATATAAAAATTAAATGAAAGTGAAAACACCAACGTATCGCAAGTAAAAGATACAACCACTTGATTGCTTTCGCAAAGTTTGTTTACATACGCACGATTAATCGCTTATCAGTATATACACCCATAGGTACAACTTAGAGTTTCATTCACACACGCAAAATCTTAGATTCGCAATCACTCCATAACGATAGCGAGTCTTCTCGAAGCGAAAGCGAGTTTAAATCGCGCTGAGAGCCAATCTGTCAACGATTTTTATCTCGATTCTAAACTGTCTGAAAAAAATAAGATAAACTTGAAAACTTCTTTGTCTAGTTCAAAATTTGTGAAGAATTGAGCTCAATTCCCATGCGAGGCGATTCAAACGCGCTCCGATCGAAAACGCGCCGTTAAACATGTAATAGGTATCCAAAAGGTAGTCAGTCTGTTTAGTTTAGAGTAGTAGAAAAGAGTACAATATGTGTGTGCTCGCGCGTGGTCCATGAAAGTGGAAACTTCTCTGTCAACGAATACATATTAATTTCGTCCCCTTTTTAACGACGATTAATCAATTGAAACAGTCAATACGTTCATTCTTAAGAGTCGTAATTGAAGAAGAGAACGGAGACGAAATTTCCCATCTAATCTCGAATACTTTTTACCGCATCTTTACACGAAATCAAATGTAGCGGCAAGATGAGAAGAACGAACAACGAGCTAAAAGAGAATCAATTATCGCGCGAAGATTTATAAACAAGAAAAAAAAGAATATAAAAAAGAAAGTTTTCAGTAAAATCTTTGAGATTGCAAGTTCAGGTCGTCGCGACGTTAATAGAAATGCAAAAAAAAAAAAAAAGAAAATTTTGTCGACAAAATCAAGTCGACGAAAAATACTAACACTTTCCTTATCGGTTCTGACTAGGTGTGAATAATTCTACTGACATTCTCTCGATACGCAAAATTCGAATAATACCAAGGCGGCTTCCTCAACCGTAAACTTACCGTAAAATCTTATACATCGTACGTAACATCGACAAAGAACGAAGATACAAGAACAAACACTAACTTAATAACAACGAGTAATTAAATCTAATGCGCCCGACTCTCCAAACTTTCGACATTTTTCCTTCGAACAGGAGGATTTTGATCCTCAAGATTCTCGATCGACATTTCTTGGAAATACGAATCGATATTTTATTATTATTATTTCTAATTAATAATATTATATAGCTTGGCATTAATTATATAAGCTATATAATATCGTTAATTAGAAAGCCAATTGTACTAATAAAGAAAATTAAGTGAATTAGAATTGTATTTGTGTCGAAATATGTATAATAGATTCCAGATTTACGAAGGAAAGATGCGAAACGTCTGGCACGTCGTAGATAGCTTTGCATTCACACCGATTTCAATTATAACAATGCGCACAATATATATATACATATATAAACGCAACATATATATATAAAAATTTCCCATCTAATCTCGAATACTTTTTACCGCATCTTTACACGAAATCAAATGTAGCGGCAAGATGAGAAGAACGAACAACGAGCTAAAAGAGAATCAATTATCGCGCGAAGATTTATAAACAAGAAAAAAAAGAATATAAAAAAGAAAGTTTTCAGTAAAATCTTTGAGATTGCAAGTTCAGGTCGTCGCGACGTTAATAGAAATGCAAAAAAAAAAAAAAAGAAAATTTTGTCGACAAAATCAAGTCGACGAAAAATACTAACACTTTCCTTATCGGTTCTGACTAGGTGTGAATAATTCTACTGACATTCTCTCGATACGCAAAATTCGAATAATACCAAGGCGGCTTCCTCAACCGTAAACTTACCGTAAAATCTTATACATCGTACGTAACATCGACAAAGAACGAAGATACAAGAACAAACACTAACTTAATAACAACGAGTAATTAAATCTAATGCGCCCGACTCTCCAAACTTTCGACATTTTTCCTTCGAACAGGAGGATTTTGATCCTCAAGATTCTCGATCGACATTTCTTGGAAATACGAATCGATATTTTATTATTATTATTTCTAATTAATAATATTATATAGCTTGGCATTAATTATATAAGCTATATAATATCGTTAATTAGAAAGCCAATTGTACTAATAAAGAAAATTAAGTGAATTAGAATCGTATTTGTGTCGAAATATGTATAATAGATTCCAGATTTACGAAGGAAAGATGCGAAACGTCTGGCACGTCGTAGATAGCTTTGCATTCACACCGATTTCAATTATAACAATGCGCACAATATATATATACATATATAAACGCAACATATATATATATATGTGTAACCGAATAACGATTTCATTTGTGCTACCAATTTTCAGTCCTTCACGTTCCTTTTGTTCTCTCTGATACACGTTCTACCTGCGCGCGCGCGCGCGTGCAAAAATTTCCCATTTATTTTATCTCGCTTGTCGATCAACAATATCACGCTTGTGCGATCATTAGCCGTCATGGTTGTTTTGTGCGGCTTCGTTCCATCAACGGGGGAAAAAACGCGAGCAATTGCCGAAATAATCGCTAAATCAATCGCGTTCCGGAAGACCTTTCATGTATGGTCTCGAGATATATAGTCTAATAATATTAATGATAAGAAATCAAATAACGTACACACGTGTGAAACGTACAAAGTTGATGTAGTTTTATCCTTAAGCACTGGCGCGATGTGAAAGTTTTCTCTAATATTTATATATTTATTATATGTATATAAAATAATCAAAAATTTGCATATATTTTATATATACTTTATAAAATTTATAGATATTATATATAATGCCGTCGAATATTAATCTAATTATTCATATAATTTTTTACTAATCGATATATTTTATTACCTTCAATTAGTAATAAATACATCTCGTATACTGATGTAAAAGCATTAAAGTATAAATGAAATACTCTCTTATGTCATCTTTAATATTTAATGCAATAATGGAAGAATTGAATGCATCCTTCATTATAATGTTATAAAAATATGCGCCAGTGTTGAAGGATCTGAAAATGACGGTTTTTTGATCGCTTAAAGAGTGAATTTTTGAAAGGGGCTAAGTGTGAGAGAGAAATTCGTAGTGGATAATCTGCGTCGCGACTGGGAGGACTCTGAGACACTGACATTGAGTATAAACATTATTATCGATATAAGTACGGCACATAGAAGAATATTTTCTTTTCTCTCCTACCAGACAAGCACGACAAGGGTCCCGCAGATATAGAGAAGCGCTTTTATTACTATAATAATAATCTCGAATATTCAGTTATATCGAAACAGTCCGATTTGAGTACCTGTATTTGTTTGTCGTCTCGCAAAGGGAATAATAATCGAACGTTCGATTTAAGTATAATATCCTGATTTCGTCCAACGCTATTTCACGTAATATGTAATCGTTTCCTACTCTCGTCTCCACTGTCTTTACAACATCGATCGAATCATAGAATTTATAGCATTGCCGTATGCAATAACAACTATTATAGTCTCAACAACTGATAAAAATCGCCATACATTCGGATCAAGTTAGAAACGATCCGATTACAACGAAACGGAGCGCGTACCGGAAAGTGTGCGAAGCATTTCGCGATGTAGCCGACAAACCTCGTCTGTAGATTCCTTGAAGTATTCAAAATAATTTTCTTTCTTAGCCAAAAATTTATAGTCAGTTATGAGAAATGAAAAACGTAACAGATTTAATTTGTTTCGCACTTCTCGGTCAACTTTTTTTAGTTGACTTTAATGAAGATGCGGGAAAACCAACTTTTCAAATCGCACGAAGACAAGTTTGTCGGCGAAACAGACTTGTAGAGCTCTTTCTAACAAACGCTTTGATACGCGGGGATAATCGGAAGATCTATTTACATCGCTGGAATCTGTGGGAACCTTGTCTAGCTTTCCCTCTTTTCTACAGATATAAATTTGTTTATATATATATGTATATGCATATATATATATCTTTTTTCTCAATATATGTTATGTATATGGATAATAAATAGTACTTTGTTTTCTGGCACATTGTCGGCACTCTCATTGAAGAGAGAACGCACAGATATAGATATAAATCAACTAGTCTATCAACATCATCGTCCGCATACGCGCGGAGCTAAAGATTTCGGGAAAGACGTTATTGTTCTAGTCAAGGAGGAGCTATGATAACGGATAGATTGCTCGTTTAATTTGTCCGTACAGAGTGTTGAAAAATAACATACTCTATAATATTATATTCTCACGAGGATCATCACACATACCTTTCGTGTCCTGCGTTGATCGCAAAACGATCAAAAGCAGTATCTTAGCTCGTTTACAATCTTATTCGACACAAATATATATTTATATATATATATATTTATGCTTGTATACAGAACGTCCCATTTTGATCGATGCACACAAATATTGAAATATTATTGAAAAATGTTTCATACATATGTAGGAAAAATTGCAATATTTCAAGAGAAATATCATTCTCAGACAAGATAATCTTGAATAAGCTCGAATCTTGCCTGGTACAATTCATTTAATCGTTTTACTCTTTCATAAAACTATAATACTGCGTGAAAGCGCAGTGAGATATGGTTCCCTCAAATATGAGGATGATTTTTATTTAGTAAAATAAAAAACTACTTGTAAAGGAAACATTCATTGCATATACTCTCCCTCTCAAAATCTCTCAATTTTCACCTGAAACACTTTTCAATAGTACGAATAATTCCGATATTTGTGATCGGGTCGACTAACATGATGGGCGTTCTATATATCTCTCTCATTTTTTCCCGAACGTGACGCGTTCATATATCGCGCGATTTATGGATTTTTATTAAAGAATATATTTAAATATATGTATATATGTTAGAGCTATAAAATGTATTCAGTCTGAAGTATGTAAAGCGATCGTATGTCATCTAAAAGAATTAGAAAAAGTTTTCCCCTTTTTGTTTTTTTCGTCGAATAACTTACAATCATTGGTGGCGACTTATCATCATAGAAACAACAGCACCGGTGGCACGTAGAACGGCGACAGCATTATTGTGATCAGATTTGGTGAAATCGATACCGTCTACCTCCAAGATCTTATCTCCCGGTCGAAGAGTACCCTGAGCTGGCCCGTCGGGATTCACCTTGGTCACGATTATTCCCTGCAAAAAGAATATGTCGGTCTTTTAACGCGAGAATAAAATTCGACGTTGAAATTAATACGTATGCTCTACTTACGGTCTCTGCACCCGCTACTCCGCCAGCTATGCTGAAGCCGAGACCTGGATTTTTCTTTATTTGAACAGGCAGCTGCGGAACAATTTTAAAAATTTTATATATATATTTAAAATGATTATTATATATCTTTAACAGCAAAAAAAATTTTTTTTGAAAAAGTTGGAAAAATTATTATTTTTAATAGAAAACTAATTCATTAATTAATTCTTTAATACTGATAATAGAATACATACCACATTTGCGTTTTTGTGAGGACCGAACATCCATTTGAACTTCGGCTTCCTCTCCGAACTAGACGTTTCACTCAACGCAGGACTCGCGTGTTCATTGCTCTCGACGTTGCTCATGTCGCCCTGAGATTTATTACCCGTATTGAGATTCGGCGTGTCTCGGCCCGAGTTTATTTCGCTCTTAACGACAGTGACAGCAAGAGACGCGACGCTGGATTCATCGATGATGCTTCTGCTCATTTGAACGGGAGCGACGAGGTTCGCTCGATCGACATCCGGCGTCTCGGCTAAATTAACGTTATCGCATGAATTGTTGTTCGTGACGTTCCCGTTCTGCAGTTTCCTCGATCGATCAAGCGCTTTCGCCGGCGCCGATAAGGGGCTCCGATATTTCTTTCCAGTGATCGGCGACGTAGGTATACCGGAGTAAACCGCATTTAACGTTCTGTTCGCATCATATTCCTCCGGGAGAGCCTTGACCGAGTTCGCGTCGTTATTCGAATTTTCTACATGCTTCGTTTTGAGAACGGGAATTTTGCTTGGTTTGAAGGCCCGATCATTCTGTTCGGAATCGGGTCCGGAATCCAGATTCGGCGTGCAAGTTTGGTCTGCGGTGATTCGGTCGAGAAGATCCATCCGTCCGTTATCTATCGACGCGTTTAAATTAACGGGATTCGTCAGATCACTCGGTACTATGTATTCCTCGGCCTTTATCAAGTCCGCGTTCGTATCAAAGTTTTTCTGTTTCAATACATCTGGAAGCATCTCGGCCGAATTTAGCGACGAGTTAAAAGGTAACGAAAGTGGATGTGGGTCCGCTTCGATCGCTGGAAAGATAAAGATTCGTGTCCAAAACTTACTTCTTTCCGAAGTTTTAAATTTTAGAATTTACTACATTCGATAAGAGACAAATAAATAAAAAGATTTAAAAAAAAGATATTAAGAATCTATAACTCCGACGATAACGTACGATTATTAAATTGTTGGAAAAGAGCGGCCTTCTTGGAGAACGCTGCCGCGATGTGATATGGCGGCGGAGCTAGCGGAACGTCGCACGATTTCGGCACAACGTTTATCCGCGCTTGCTTGCCGTCCGTTGTGTCGATGGACACTGCCTTGTAAGGCTCGATAAATTTGTCGGACTCGACTATCTTTGCTGTGTTCGCTTTGGAGTACTCGTCCGGTTTCCACGTGGAGTTCACGTAGTCGGATACCGTTGGCGTTTTCGCAATGTAATCGGACGTGGGATTGCGAATGTACTTGGCCTCCCGAATATCCGGGCTCTTCTCCTTTGCCAACACGGTCTTGTTCGCTTCATCTGACGATTCCTCGGACACCGAGTGCTCCGCCGTTCCGGGTTCAACCGGTCTGTTGTTCTTATTGTAGTTTTTCGCCGTGTTACGATCGATAGAGGTTGTAGACGAAGGCGTGCTCTACGAGAGAAATATCCTATGCAAGAACTGTTTAAATTTTTTTATTTTTTATATCTATTTTCTCATATGATGTAACTACTATATCATATCATATCATATCATAAATGTTATACTATATTACTGACACTGTTTATAGCTAAATGATTTTATTTATCGAAAGAACATTGTTATGCTGTCGTAGACGACGAATAAATGACAAGTAACTTACTCTTTGAGTATCGTGAGTGGACTGATGATGCAGATTACGAGCGTGCCTAGCGAGGTTGCGTAGCTCCTTAGGGTAAGGGGTTGGTGCTCGATGGAGTTGCCTGGGGACTTCGGAATCTACTTCAGCAGCGAAACATATCCTCTTGCCGGTTCCGATGATTGAACTCGGAATCGGTCCCGTGGTCTGCGCCATTTCTATGGATGTAAATCAAAATTATAAATATATTATTAAAAACACGATTAATAATAAAAATTATTATTAATAATTTTGCTGGATATTCTCCATAATTCGAAGATATTTCTTGATATTTTATTCTGATTCCTTCATATATCTCTCTCACCATTTCATTCCTCGTCTTCGTGTTCTCCTTCCACTAGTAGCGTGCACATAAATATTGCATCTTATCGTTAAATAAATATATATATGGAGCAAAGCGTGCAGTAGTGTAAACAAAGACAAGCAACTGAGTCAATTTTGATTTTAAATATAGGCGCTAAGTAAAGCGACACATATATAAAAGAAACAAAGCCAAAATCATTTTTTTATAAGGTATTGAAAAAATATTTAAATAAATTTTTTTATTTGTGAAAATCTATGCTAATTATAAACAAAGATATTAAACAAAACTTGTGTTTTTTTCACTTGTTTCAGTATCCTTTATAAAAAGATTGGAAAAAACGACAAACAAAAAACTCACGCTCCAAATCCTGCCGTGGTTTCTGGGGCAGCATGAAACAGCTCAGCACCATCATGTCCTCTTCACAATTGAACTCTTGCTGCAGTGGCACTAATGGTTGACTCTGATTGTCGCTCAACCACAATGCCTTCAGGTTGCTCAGATTGAGCATGGAGACCGGTAGAAACTTGATGCAATTGTTGACGAGATTAAGCACCCGCAACGAAGACAGATGGCCGAGCTCAGGCGGCACGCGTGTCAGATTGTTCGATCGCAAGGAGAGCAGGGACAACGCTGTGCAGCTGCCAATCTCAGCCGGCAACGCGCGCAGATAATTATTGTCCGCGTTGAGACAGTGCAGCTTACGCAGCAAGCCTATCGAAGATGGCAAGTACTCGAGAAAGTTCTTAGTGATTATAAGCTCCTCTAAGCTCGACATCTGGCCGATGTCGTTCGGCAGTGCGTTCAATTGATTGTCGTCAATCTTGAGGGTGACGATCGTGTGCAGGTAACACAAGGTATCGGGCAGCTCGTACATCTCGTTCGAGGACAGATTCATGATCGCGATGTCACGCCAGCCGCGTATCTCCAACGGGAGTGTGTGTATCGCGTTCATCGTGCAGTCGAAGTGATTCAAGCGATAGAGCTGCTCGACGTTCACCGGGACACGCCTGATGTCGTTGCCATCGATCCATAACTCCGTAAGATTGATGAGATCCCCAACAACCTCAGGCTGTTACAAGTAATATATGCATTAGTGTTGCATACTTGTATCATACATACATGTTTATATGACAGGTATAATATCAATTTGAAATTAACAGAGAGCTAATTCACAGATTGGAATTAACATAATTCTGTCTTTAATTTTTTAAGTTGCAATAAGTGTCTTTTCTAAAACATTCACAATTTTGAAATATTTTGCAAATAATATGTATATAAAAAAGCAAACTAACAGAATTTCAATTTAAAAACAATAGTAAATTATTCAAAATAATTGAAATCGCAGTCTTACCAGCTCTGTGAAATCATTGTTGCCGATATCGAGCCTCTGCAAGTTGACGAGACGACTCATACTCTTAGGCAACGTCATCATGTTGTTCTCCCGCAGCTCGAGCGTCTTCAAGGCTGACAGTCGTCCAAAGTTAGCCGGCAAATATTCTATGTACGCGTCATTTATGTAAAGTTCGCGCAAACCAACGATATGCGTTATAGCGTCCGGAAAACGGTCGAAAGGGTTGACACTGATATCTATGGAGCGAAGACTCTTGCATTCTTTGATACTGTCTGGTAAATCCTTTATACCTGCAACAAAATATGTACATAAATGTCGAATCTAAACAAATATGTAAATTAATACAAGCGTTTAAAAAGTCTCAATTTTGTAAAACTGAGACTTTTTAAACATAACATTTTGTACATAACAACTCAATACAGATGTACTGACTGTTTTTACTGAGATCCAAGTATTCCAAGTTGATTAATGACGCTATGGCGGGTGGTAATGTAGCAATCTCATTATCGCTAAGCGAGAGCACTCTCAACTCGTGGCATTGGAATAACGGCCTGGGAAGATCTTTTATCTAAAATAGAATCACAAAGACGAAACATTGTATGTCGTAATTAAAACGTAATTAAATACTCGCTCTCTAATGAATCGAGGTACTCACTCTATTGGCATCGAGATACAACTTTTCCAATGTTCTTTCGTAAATGAACACATCGGGTGGTACATCATAGAGATTACAGTGATTCAGTTGCAGCTCGCAAATGTCCTCTTCCTGGGTTCTCAGACACGCAGCACACTGCCACCAAGCGCTACCCATTTCATGTGCGTACAGCTACACAGAACGCAATCGCATATATTAAATACATTCAACTTACACTGTAATCATGACTAGTTATTATTATGCTAAATAAAAAAAGAGATATATACAGATTTTCATAAGGCAAATCAAATTTTTCTGTTTTCTATATAAAACGTCTATAGGAGCATCTAATTTCCGTAACTATATAGTGTTATTAATAAAGCATCGTGAGATGACAGATGTATTATAGAGTTATCAAGAGTACAGACAACATCCTATGATCCTACCTGTGTGGTGCTCTCAGGAACGATCCGGCGATCCACCGTGCGACAGATCGCTCCGCACGCGAGAACGCTCGCCGCCGACGATCATCCGCGGGGTCGAGGAGCCGCCGATCGCCGTATCACCGCGTCGCCGTGTTGCCGTCGCGGCGAGTAATAGCGGCCGAGAATCGGCATCGCCGGCGCGCAAGCGACGGCGACAAACGCACGTTCGCGCGCTCTTCGTCGACGGTGAGGGGAGAAACGTCAAGAGATGTCACTTTTATTACGGCGGCTCACGTTGATCCGTCGCGACGCCGCCGCCGCTCTTTCCATGCGCATATCTCACTCCCTCGTCATCGCGCGCGTGTACATACGTCACGTTGATCCGTCGCCGCGTAGATTCCCAGGAGAAGCGATACGATTCACGGCGACCCTCCTATCTTCTTCCTCACTTCCTTCTCTATTGGATCTGGCGTCCACTAAATAGGACAAAGCACTCCGCGGCTCTTGCGAATCCTCTTCTCAACTGCCACAAGAGTGCAGTACAGATCGCTCTAGCAATCGACGCCGAGACCAATCGGGGACTGGAGGAAGGGGAGTTCAATCTTTCCGAGCATGAAATATACAAAAGAAGAGAGACTCTTGACAACTCATCACGTGACCACCGATAGATTTTAATTGGTTGAAATTTTGGTTGGATTTTTTTTTTTACGTTTTTATTGGTTTCCGCCATTTTTGGTGTCAAAACCAATCAGTGACAAATTAGTGCTCAGATTTTTACTTGACATTTGTAGTCTAGAGTCTTGCATTTTCATAGACACAGAGTCCTCGAGAATTTCGAGATTAATTCACGGTTGATCTGTTGACATGACATGTGGTTCTTCGTTCCGTCAGCGGACGGGGATTTAACAAAGAAAGAAGAGGAAAAAGATTTGTAACACGTACGATAGCGAATATGAAATATGTTTGAAGTTTGAATATCATCGTTAAATAACTGTTGAATAGCTGCAAAATGAAAATAATTGCAGACTTTCATAAATTGTATCAGAATGAAAAGTGACTTGCGTAGGATAGTATTGATATGTCAAATGTTATCAGTAAGTAAATAATAAGACTTCGCGTATCTTTAAAAAAAAAGATCTGTCAGATATATGGCCGATAAAATTATAACACTAATATGTTGTCCATGGAAATTTTCTTGAAATACGGAAAAATCGTGAAATCGATCTCAGGATTTTTGCGTGTTCGAATAAATAATAAATCATGAAAAATCATAAAATCTTTTTACAATCGGCCATTCAGAGATACTGAAAAGAAGAGAGAGAGAGAGAGAGGGACGAAACGGAAAACTTTGGTGAAACAATCTCGCGTGCAATATGAATTCCCCGGATCTACGAAACTGGCCAATCTTCAGCTTGCTGGAGACAGAATTCGTCTCACGAATTCACATGGTCATGGTATATGGTAATTAGCATTTCTTGTTGTGTGTCTTTATATCGTCGCTTTGGTGATATCATGATTTTGTTACCCTTCCAAACAGGTAACTTAGGTAACGAGGCTCTAATCGTGACAAAAGACAAGATAGTGTATGGCTTAGGCAACAATATTGCTGGTTGTTTGGGGACCAGCGATGCCCATAGCACGTTGCATCCAAAGAAGATAGAAGTTTTGTGTGACAAAGACATAAAAACATTTGCCTATGGAAGTGGACCTCACGTTTTGGCACTTACAGAGAAGGGAGAGGTATACTGGAGAGTTATATATTTGTTAAACTGAATACAATGCGAGATATAAAATTAAATTCAAATTAACTATATATCTACTTTGACGAATTTAGAAGCAAAGCATATTATTGGAATTTTATAAAATCATTAAATCAAGTATATATGTGTAAAGGATATGAGATATCAATGTCAGTGAGATTTATATTTTTAAAAGATATATTCCTGGGGTCACAACGGTTACTGCGAATTAGGAAATGGAACATGCAATCAGGGTCTTACACCAACTCTAGTGAACATGCCCACTCTAGGAGCTGGTTTGAATATGAAACACATTGTGGATGTTGCATGTGGGAGTCATCATTCTCTCGTTCTCACGGAGGATGGAGAGGTGAGCGATGACCAAAGTACGACAACTACAATCTACCAAAGTTACGAATTGAACAATCGTTTAATCTAGGTGTATGCCTGGGGACAAAATAACTGCGGACAAGTGGGTAGCAGTCTCAGCACAAATCAGGGCGCACCGCGACAAGTAAACTCCAATTTGACCGGGAAGAAAGTTGTCCACATCTCCTGCGGTCAGACCTCTAGCATGGTAGTAACCGACAACGGCGAGGTATATGGTTGGGGTTACAATGGCGTCGGCCAGCTGGGGATAGGCAATTACGTGAACCAAATGACCCCGAGTCGAGTCGGCTCGCTGATAGGCGTCGTAATAAGTAATTATACGTTCATTTTGTTGATTCATTTCTTTAAAAAAAAACGATGTGTTGTCGAGCAATCGACGTTCACATTTCAGTCAAGGTGGTTTGCGGATACGCGCACACGTTGGCGCTCACGGACGAGGGGAAACTCTATGTCTGGGGCGGGAATAGTTACGGTCAATTAGGCATTGGTAATAAGACAAACGCTTGTAATCCAGTCTTGGTGAGTTTTACGTTAGTTGTCATTGTAATAAATAGAGAAAAAGAGAAAATGTAGGATTTTGTAATCGTGATTTAACTGTCAGGTCATGCACGAAATGGGAAGGGTGTTTGACATCGCCGCTTTGCATTATAATCACATAAGCATCGCCGTCGGCCTAGGCGGTCGTGTGTACATGTGGGGTCACTGTCGCGGGCAGAGCATCACGACTCCGACTGCCACTCCGTTTTTGAATATATACGACGCGTTCGCGTGCTACGGGTCGCCCAGCGTCATGCACAAACCATTGATTCTACATGCGAACGAGGACTCGAGCATATTGGAATGTCTGGGAGCTGCGTTTGACGATTCCGTATGTAACGTTTTCTATTTCGTATCTGTTTGCTTTGCGCTTTTTTGCATTTTGGAAATGAATATAACGAGAGACATTAGAAAGAGAGAGAAAAAGAAAAGGAACAGAGCACAGAAAGCATAGCCGAAACAAATAGATCTAATAGCTAACAATATCTTTTTCATATACATAGTTATATTAAATATATATATGTACATATATAGTTATTATCACCGTGATTTATATATGATATGTAATATATGATAATATTTTTTCACTTATTATATTTCTATATAAGATTTATTGCGCATGCATTTCTCTATTGAATTCTATTCTAAATAAAGTGACTGATTTGCATTCTATTGTAAAAGGGAAAAATTTCTCTCTAGATGAAAAAAGATATATAGAAGATGAGCACATATATACGCGCACGCGCATTGATGTAAAATTTTTTTTGAAATTATATATATATATCTTTTTTTTCATAGATTTTAGTCGATAAATATGACAAATCTTTTTTAGGCATTAATCTAATATTTGCATTTGTCTCTAAGAATTCTTTTCCTTTCCACAGTCGACGAGCGACCTCACGATACAAGTAAACGGGCAAGGTATCCACGTCCACAAAGCTATTTTGAAGATCCGTTCTCCGTACTTCAGGACCATGTTTCAGCATAATTGGGCGGAAAACAATCAAAGGTAATCATTTACTTATAAAGAAAATCGCGGCATTATTCCTTGTATAAAGAATCTCTTGTGCTTATCATATCGCATCGCGTGCTTTTCCCGACAGTATCATCGAGCACGATCAATTTACCTATGTCGTGTACAAAGCCTTTCTGAAATACTTGTACACCGATATGATCGATCTACCTGCAGAAAAGGCATTAGGTAAGCTCGAATCGTAAGTACACCGTGATACGTATATCATCTCGCGATTAAAGCAACGCCATATTTATAGAGCTCCTTCATTTGGCTAACGCTTACTGCGAAAACAATCTTAAGAGACATTGCATTCAGATGATAAAGCAAGGGATTACCATATCAAATGCGGCCTATCTATATAGCGTCGCGATCGAGTACAATGCGAAGGTACCTATTGCCGTTAATTCGCTACTAAATTACGTCACAATCGCGATATTCAATAAATGCGGCATGATTTTTATAGGAACTCGAGGAGTTCTGCTTCAAGTTCGCCTTGAATCACATGACAGCCGTGACGCAAACGGAGAATTTCGCCAAACTGGACGAGAACACGGTAAAAACTTTTATCATTAAAGCGGGCAAGGCCGGTGCTTTTAGGACGTAATTCGTCTATTTGCCTTAAGGATAATACGTTTCGGAAATGGACGGAAATCGCCAAATCTGTCTGTTGCTGCACGGGTATTCGCGACACAATTCCTAATAGTCGCATATACTGACGAAGGAGTCGCGTTTCAGCGACTCGCTTCCTCTTGTATTTCTCTCGTAGCATTCCGCGTAAGTAATAGATAAATTGCGCATTTTTTAGCTGTGCAATCTAGTCGGCGTCTTCTGACAGATTACTTCGTGAGATCTACTTGGATAAAGAAAGTGATCTTTTATAAAGTACTTGAGATTATTATCTTGGAATCTCTCTGAATAAAGAAAGAAACAAGACAATGTGTTATTCGCCGATGCAATTGAAAACAATAGCGCGAATTAATTAACGACGTGTCAAATCTGTCCAACGAAAGCTCGATTTCGTTTATCATTTCTGCGATATAGCGTAGTCATTTAATTTTGTAACGATCTTACGTAGATTCTACGTAGATTCTACGTTGATTCTCGGGTTTTTTACCAAATGCGACTTTTGTAAATTTCATCTAACGGTGTATGTATCTGAAGAATAATAAAAATTTTTTCAACACCGTCAAAAGAACATCCTACTGTGTTTTCCGTCAATATCACATCTGTTACTTTAAATAGCAATAGTAAGGAATGAAAAAAATGGAAAATCGGAATGGAAGAATTCGATCTTTGAGAAAGAGAGAGAAAGAGAGAGAGAACAATAGTAAGGAATGAAAAAAAATGGAAAATCGGAATGGAAGAATTCGATCTTTGAGAAAGAGAGAGAAAGAGAGAGAGAGACAGATCTCGCACTGTCGTTCGTACATCATTTTATTATGATATTCTCAATATATACAAGCGATAGATTTTGTCGTTCGTATAATATGTACGTATTCTACTTGATTATAATAATCATCATATGTTTAATATACATACACATATACCTTTTGAAACGGGAACGATCGATTATGTGTTCCGCGACTCGGAAAGAGATAAATCTCTGATAAATCTGTACAATCTGTGTAACTCTCTTCCTCTTTCTCCCCCGCCTCCGAGATTCCGAGTCGCGGAACGCGTCGTTGAGATCGTTCTTATTCCAATCTCGTATATAGAAGTATACACACAAGATATACATATATACGGAGTGTCTATCTTACAGCGACCACCGCAAAACGGGCGCTCTGTATATATACGTGTCTTTCTCTTTCTTATATTAATTTTATATTTAAATATATTTATATATGTATATATAAGAGTAATTATAATTATATTAAATTAGGTGATCGGTCGTTCGCCACGACCAGAGACTCATCCGTCGCAACCCACGCGTGCAACGGCGAGCGAGAGGTCTCTCTCTCGATCGCGATTCTCGTTTAAAGATCTACAATATTATCGCGAGATAATTCAACGTCAGCTTTTCATTCGGTTTGATTAATAGAAGCTATTCCAATCGATAATAATACGAGCAGACAATTGGATTATATTTTACGTGAAGCGTAAAGTGTCGAATTTTTTATTACGTGATCTACTCGCGAGATAATGAATAGATTATAATATAAAATAGATGACAAGAGTGTGCGTGTGTATGTGTGTGTATGTGTGTTGTAATAAATATAAATAGATCGTCGTAAAGTAGATAATAAATTATACTTTCTCTATTATCGATATAAGAGGATGTAAAGAGATTTATCTTACATTTTGCATTAGTTATTATTTTTTTGTCTTTTTTTTTGTTGTTTTCTTTTTTTTGTTCTTGGCAAAAGGAATTTGCGAGTAGTAAGTGATATTAGCGGGCGATTGCACGCGGTGGTTGCACGTCGCTGATCCGATCCTCGATACAACGCGCCCCGAGGAGATGCATCTCCTCCTGCCTGGGGTAGGAAAGGGGCACCGTCCTATCGAAGTGCGACCGGCCGCCGACAGCTAGAGACAACGATTCATCGTTTCATTAGTTCATTTAATAGTAATCGTTCTCCTCTTCTGTTTCTTTGAATTAATTAGAGCGTATTTAGGCCTGCGGGCTACTTTTCTTCAGCAACGCGCTGCGAGTCCCATCGACGACAAAAGCGAGACTTCTCTCCCGAGAGCCTTTCGTCCCGACCCGGCTCTCCATCCTTTCTCGATACACTATGAAAACGGAGAGAGAAAAAAGGGGGCAACTCTATATATGTATATATATAGAGAGATTTATCCGTCTGATTTATCGAAAGTCTCGGTTCTCCTGTACGATCAAAACCTCGATCGTCGATCAACCATTTTTCTTCTCGGTGCTTAAAGCCCGATTGGATGTAGAGGACTTTGTCCTCTCGCGCCGCGTCTGTTCGCTTAACGAGTCAATCTTTCTTTTTTGCGTATAGAAACAAGGGTGGATTGTCCGCGGCGTTTCTCGCCTTTCGCTTTTCCTTCTCCCTTCTGTTGTTGACACTCTTTATCCCCTCGCGCTACGCAAGATTATATATATATATAAATATATATATATATATTATCGTAGGCTAAGAAATTTATACAAGCAGCGAGATTTGTTTTACTCGGAAAGAGTAAGCTTCTTATATGACAGCTGACTTATCGCACTTATCTAAAATGGATCGCTTCGACACTTTGAACTTCGCTGTTTCCGCGATAATCGCTATCCCGATACTTTCGATCAAAGTTCGTCTTTGCTTTTGTTGTTCTTACTTTCTTTCCCAAGTTGCGCCAATAAATCATCTGTCGTGTGTTTGACACACGTTCGATGGCACCGATGAAAAATATTGTGCAACTAACTTTATAGAAAAACTGTTTGTATTAACTTCTTATCGAAGAGAGAGAAAGACCACTTTGTGGAGAAATATTACATATTTAAAATTTTTATAAAGAGAGATTTTATATATATATACATTTAATGTATATAGAATATATGTGTAATAGATATCTATAATAGATCTATAGAATATTGTAGATAAACAAAAAGTAACATGGATTAGATTATCATGGCGAGATCTTTCCAAGGCTTACCATTGATAAAAAAAAAGGTATTGAAAAATGATTGTAATCTCGAAAATACAGCTGCGTTACTTTCTTATCGGTGCCATTGATATGCACGTGTAGACAACGCAAGAGAGAGAGAACGCGCAGACAACACACGCACATATATATAACACATACAACATCGACGCGAATTCTCGTATGATGCCATTAGGACGCTAAATGCAAATTTGCTGATATTCTGATTTCATTATATATGCGCGACTTATGTGAAACACGCGAAAATAAATAAAGAAAGCGTTCTCCTTTTATTTTATTTTTATATTTTTCGCGTCTTTATCTTTATTAATTTCGATAAATTTCTCGATTTTCACGCACCGTGCTCTGCAATCATGTGTTCGATTTGTTATAGTGTAGCGAATAATTAGTATGGGATCCGAATTGATTATTAATTATCCGAGTTAATTTCGCGGATTCTCGGATAAATCCGATTCTTCGGATATTAGATTCCGATAATCCGGATGTCGGGATTCGTAATAATCGGATTGTAATTAGTTTCGGATATTAAATTAATCAGATATTTGCGGCCTTTACGACAGGATACCCGATCTTTTCGGATAACATCCGAGATATATATAGCTCGAGAGCTTGGCGTATCGCGTGTTTCGCGCGAGGATTTTTTTTCCGTCCAATTTTCTAATCCGAATGAAAAAAATTTACACTCGATTTTGATTCTCCAACGATTAAATCCGGATATCCGAATTTTATTCAGAATATCGCGTGCATGAAAATGATAATTGTATATTTTAATATATATATATATTAAATTTTATTTCTCTTTCTCGCCAATATATTTGTGCAGCGTTAACACGACGATACCGAGATGGAAATATTCGAAGGTATCGACGCGAAAACCGAAGGAAGATCGATTTCGAGTCCCTCTTTTTTTCTGACACTTCTCTCCGACCTCGAAATCGATTGTTTGATTTATTTATAATTTCTCGTCACTATTATATATATATATATATCTAGTACCGTTATCGCGCTACTATTTATTCATTAAAATTATCATTAACATTATCTCGTTAGCTTTACATTTATTATTTTAATTATTATTATATTTTATTACCATCTCATTATCGTTGCTTTCCACTGTTGTTGTTATTTTTGTTGATATCATCTCGTCTTTGTCTGTTATCGCTATTTTCTTATTTTTTATTCTTATCTTATTATTATTATTATTATTATTAGCGTGATATATCAGTATTTCTCCGCGTCTCTCAATAACGTGTGGTCTCCGCAGCGCGTATTTTTTTTTTTTTTTTTCGTAGGACAAAAGACGAGTAAAAATGACGCCTAATGAGTTATCGATATTTCGTGGAGAATCGGCGAAATAGTAATCCCCTCATCTTATTATACATCTTAAAATATACGCACACAGAACCACAATCAAGGCGATCTCTTTCTTACCCTTTTTATCTTTTTTTATATTTTTATTTTTTTTCAATCGATATAATTTAGCTTCTCCCTCTCTCTCTTTCTTTCTCTCACATACACACTCTCTCACTTTCGCTATAATGTTCGATCGATCTCGACGATCCTCGGGTCCGTCGAAGCTCGAGTTTTGTCGTGAACAACGCGCATCGCCGGTGCTCATCGTCGCGCGTGGGATTATAATCGTTTAGAGTCCTTTGTACAGACTTCTTGATAAATCGTTCTATAACTTCTTTTTTTTTTGCCATTTGTCTTATGTAATAACTTTTTTCTTATCTCTTACTGCGAATTAGCGAGTACTCTCCTCTCTCCCTCTCCTTCTCTCTCTTTTTTTTTTACATTTCTACTTACGTTGTAACGGTGCTTGTCGTATAGCTAAGTTAGCTAGATGTGGGCCCAAGGGGTCCCCGGGAATCACAATGGAATCCGGTTCTCTTCCACGCGTTCTTGGTCAGAATTTGCAGGAGAATGTCAAATCTGTCGACTTGAATTGACACAATGGATCGACGATCAAGGACGATCCTCAAAGCGGTTGACGCGAAAGATGATTTGTACGAAACCTTTCGCGATAGCCTAAATTAATATTTGCGCGCGCGTGAAAAGAATAATTTAATTCTAAAAGCGGAATAATATTGGATTTCAAGTCTCTTACTTTAACGATCGCGCGTGATTTATTCGGGAGGAAAAAATCTCGGATGATATAGGAGCGAGGATTTAAAGTCTCTTATCCATGTCCACGGGGAGACTCCGCGTATCGGTCTCCGACAAATGCGGAAATAAAAATCAATAGAGAGCGAGCAACCTTCCTGGAAATATTCCAGCTGACGCTGGTTATTCGGTATACATTAGACTACTCCTTCCTCGGGCGAAGAGGCGCGAGGCAATTATCATTGCCAATTAATTTTCGTCAATCTTAAAATCCGAGCATTTTTATAAAATTTTAGCATCGGAGTGAAAAATAAATAATCAGCATCGTCTCCTCTTCTCTGCTTTCCTATTTTTCTCTCGCGTACGATAAATCGGATGGAAACTGGATCCGCGAGCCATCATTCGATTCGAGCTCGCGTGCTTTTACGAACGAGCGAGCGATCGAACGTGCGCGAAAGAAGAGGGATATATAATGCGAGAAATGGATGAAATTTTTTTCTCTCTCATCTTTTTTTACGAACGCGATCGACTGTGCGATGCGACATACGGTGGAGTTGCGCGTATCGGGTCGTATAGATCGAATTGCCCACTCTATTGCCACTTTTCTGCGTATGTATATAGATAGACGCACACATGACAGATACGGAGGTAGATGCGAATGCGAAAATGCTGAGTCTGTCTATCGGTCGGGGGAGGAGGGAGCAACAGCAATTTCACGCGACGTCGCGCTCATCTTCGTCGGTTATTGAGTACGAATCGCGATACGGGTGCATCGTGCGCACCATCGATGCATATTGTGATAAACGAGGGGAAATAATTTCTACTTCGTTATAGATAAATCCTTAATTGAGTGTCTTGCGCGCGTTTCGATTTTTCGCATCGTTAATCTCTCGTATCGGGGACTGAAATCTAGCGCGATAAAAGCGAGCTGATTGTTATCTCGCGAGATATCAATCGATAATGGAACAATGCAAACGTTGAGATTGATTCCGATACGAGATACAGGGTAATGTAACACTGTCGTGTCAGATTAGATATGTGATATTTATGAAGCAGAAACATGATTCGTTTTATATCGATTCGAACTGATCCCCCATCGGACAGAAACTGATCCCCTTTTCGAACAGAAGCAGGCGCATTGATAAGAGAACAGAGTGTAGAACAGGTTTTTTTCCCAAAGATATTTCGATGTAGATCTCGTTATATTGCAAAAGAAGCTCTGCGGGTCCAGTGAGACTCGAGGCGAAATTACAGAAGTTTCACTCCGGACGACTCTCATTTCGATCACGATCCAGATATGTATCTGTATCCAATATATAAATAGACGTATGTATAAACATACGTATTTTTTGTCAAAAAATAAGCATCTTTTTTCCTTTGTGTAAAAGTTTTGATAATTCTATTATAATATAAAATCTGATATATATTTATATTTTTATAATAAAACACTTAATTTTATTTTTGAATTGATAAAAAATAAATTTTCTTGTGCCAGCAAAATGTGCTTTGCAAAGTCTGTTAGCGAAGGGCTAACAAAATTTCTAACAAAGATTCTTTCTTTATATTGTTAAATTATTCAATACATTGCAAAATGTTTAATAAAAAGAAAATTCATGGTAATTTTTATAATATTAGCGATTGAATCTTTTTGTGCAATAAGGATATATGACATGAAAAATAACGTATCTCGAAAACGATACATTTCCGGAAATTTTGCCAAAGGAAAAAGATGTTTATTTTTTATAAGGGAAATACCGTTTTATATCGATTCGAACTGATCCCCCATCGGACAGAAACTGATCCCCTTTTCGAACAGAAGCAGGCGCATTGATAAGAGAACAGAGTGTAGAACAGGTTTTTTTCCCAAAGATATTTCGATGTAGATCTCGTTATATTGCAAAAGAAGCTCTGCGGGTCCAGTGAGACTCGAGGCGAAATTACAGAAGTTTCACTCCGGACGACTCTCATTTCGATCACGATCCAGATATGTATCTGTATCCAATATATAAATAGACGTATGTATAAACATACGTATTTTTTGTCAAAAAATAAGCATCTTTTTTCCTTTGTGTAAAAGTTTTGATAATTCTATTATAATATAAAATCTGATATATATTTATATTTTTATAATAAAACACTTAATTTTATTTTTGAATTGATAAAAAATAAATTTTCTTGTGCCAGCAAAATGTGCTTTGCAAAGTCTGTTAGCGAAGGGCTAACAAAATTTCTAACAAAGATTCTTTCTTTATATTGTTAAATTATTCAATACATTGCAAAATGTTTAATAAAAAGAAAATTCATGGTAATTTTTATAATATTAGCGATTGAATCTTTTTGTGCAATAAGGATATATGACATGAAAAATAACGTATCTCGAAAACGATACATTTCCGGAAATTTTGCCAAAGGAAAAAGATGTTTATTTTTTATAAGGGAAATACCGGTTTGTATCTTATCTATGTGAAACATCTTGTACATTATCGCTCTGTTCCGCGGGATAATGCCACAGTAAACGCGACGCGATGCGGCGATTCTTGTTCATAAAACCTTCGTATGATGGTGACCCACATAACGATATACGGCAGGGTAGTATAAAGAAAAAAAGGCTATCTCCCCGCGTTCCGGATAAGGCGAGACTGAGATCGTCAAGAGGCGGGATTATGTCAGTCGTAACGATAGTTTTACGACGCGACGAGAATTCCCACCGCGATATATAACTTCCGGTAACTCGAGTTCTCGCATCTTTTTCTCGCGAATCTTCGCGCACGTTCGAACCTTCAAATCTTCGAATTCTCAAGCATCTCCGAACTTCCTTCGCTCTGTTTGAAAACGTCAAATCTTGGAAATGACGACTCAGGAAACTGCAGAAATTGTAATTAGCGCAATTAACCGCATATTGTTTCGCCGATAGTTTCGCGTTATCATCTCCACTTCGCTATATTGGACCGATATTCCCTTTCTCTTACTCTCCCATCCTTCGTTTTCGTCAGATCGTCGTTCGTCGCTTAACTTTCTTGTATCTTTCGATCTTCGATCTTCCCCTTTCTCTCCTGATTACGTGCCAAGAGAAGTTGAGCTCCGGATTCCACTGGGTTCCCTAAGGGTCTCTCCCCATAGTTTTCCTAACCGAGCGAGATCTCTCTCTTTTTCTTTCTCTTTCACAGACGCGGGCGTATTTGTTTTATTCATCGTCGATCCCCCGGCGATCGAGCACTCATCTACTATTGATATGTCTGTTTCTCACGCGGTGCCGTTGTCTTCCCGATCGTTCGTTCGTTCGTTCGTTCGTCTGTTTGCTCGCTTTTCTTCCGTCCATCATCCGTCTGTTCATCCTCTTCTTCAGGGAGAAAACGGGCCGCCGCTGTTGATGCTGCTGCTCGACGGGGCTAGGACGGCAGCTCGACAGCCGACCACCGATCCGGCGGCGGCGGCGGCCGGGAGCTAAACGATGCCTCTGACGTCGTGCTGGATGTGAGGCAGAGTAGTGAGGCCGGTCAATAACAGGCTCAAGATCAGGAGTATCCGGGTCGCGCCGGAGTCGGCGAGGCTCGTGCCGCTGCAGGTCTCCTTGGACGCGATCTCCAGTTTCGCTGTAACAAAAGTCTCGGTCTTAGAATAATGATTGCCGATCTCATGCAATTCTGCATCTCGCGATACGCCTTTCAACTGTATAAATTGTTTATACATTAAAAACTTCTACATTTAAATTGCTCGAACAATTCAATTCGAATGTTCGTATATCTCTTTTTCGTTTAAAAATATTTTTGCCAATTTTTTTGCTTAGTATCGTTATTACGAGCTTATTTTTGTTATTTTTTGTTTAAACTCTATAAATAATCGCGAAAGATATTTAATTATGAGCAAGTGTGGCGAATCTCTAATAGAGAGACAATCAAAATTTTACTGTTGCCAAATATAAGAGATAAAAGTATCAGTCTGTCTAGGTAAAATTTTAATTTGAAAAGTGACATTTTTATTAAACTATTAATATAAGTTATAAATCTTAGAAATGTATGCTATTAATTTTAATTAATGTTGAATTTCATTATCAAATCAAAACTATATTTTTGCTATATTAAAAAAACAATATACATGCATTATACTTTTTATATCAATATTCTCGTTAATTATCAAGAGACACGATAATATCTCGCAACAACAGAGCAAAGTGTATCTATACACTTTGTCAATCTCACCAATAGCTCGACTGATCGAGTTCTTCATAAGCTTAATCGATTTAATTTTCAGTCTTATTTTTTTGTAAAAATAAATTTTGTAAAAATATACTCTCCCCCCAAACAACACGGTGTCAAGTCTGAATTTCATATTGATCTATATTTGGACCGAATAATTCCAAAGCAAAAAGTAGAGACGCGGGGTACATTTGCGCGCTCTTCAAAGCCTTTCAAGATCCCTTTCTCTCTCAGATCGACGAGATAGGCAAATTTTCGCATTGTGCGTCGCAAGATCGACGCGCCAAGAAGGGTGGAGGGTGGGGGGGAGAGCTTCTCGATCGCCTTGGCGCAGCGAAACAAAACGAACAAGCGCGGAGCCGAGTAAACGGGGGTAGTATATCGGACCAGCAGAGCACACGGGCCGGGGGTTGGTGGGGATGGTGGTGGTGGTGGTGTTGGTGATGGTAGTGGCGGCGGTGGCGGTGGTGGCGGCCGCCAGGCAGGGCGCGGATCGATGCCGCGGGTAAGTAACTCGCGGCGCGTCTAAACCGCGTCGTCGCGAATCCGCGCGAGCTTGCACGTGCGACGACGAGGAGCTCGCACACACGTCGCCGAAGAAACTTCTCAACAGCGGGTCGCGAGAACGCCGCCGGGCGTTTAACCCCCTTTATCCCACACAACTCCCTCCCGTTCCCCTATCATTTCTCTCTCCCTCCTCACCCTCTATCTTCGAGACGTCAGACCGCGAAACCGCCGACTGATTAACGAAAGGTATCAATCCGTAGCCGAAACACTTTGGCGGTCGGAGAATCTCGTTTCGATTTTCAGTTTTGTATATATCTATCTGCCGAGAAGACAGCCTATAAATGGATTTCTTTTTTAAGATTCTTATATTTTATTATTTGATAATATATATAATTGTATTCTCCTCGTGAGAGTTCATTCTGTTGTTTTAATTTCACGTCATGTACATATCTCCGGAAAATTTGCCCGAGAGATTTTCTTTTCATTTTTCTTTTATTTAAAAGCGCGTATCTGGCGTTCTTCTAATTATACGAAACACACACACTAGTGTTTTATAATTAATTCGAGTAGATATAGAATATACGTGTATATATTTTTTCTGTATTTAATTTATACTTGCATCCCTCGTTTTTTTTTTTTTTTTTTCTTTGATAATCAGGGAAACGGATGATTTTCGAGGTCTGAAGCTAATGTGCGTGGGTTGTTGAAAATAGATTTACTTTATACAAATATATACATCGAGTATTTATATATAGTTATTTATTATTAACAAAATTAACGTAAAATTTCACTCGAAGGAATTAAATTTCGTTGATTTACCTCTTTAGAATTTTACCTAAAGACTAACATTTACAGTTCATATATTTGAATTATTTAGGGAAAAATAATATTTTGATTGTCTCTCACGCGCAAAAATAGAAATCGATAATAAATAAACAAATATATTTCATTGCCTAGATTAGGCTAGATATTCCGTATAAATTAAAAGTTACATTTGCAAATGAAATATCTTTGTCTCTCTCTTGAGAGATGACAGATTTAACATCGGTAACGTCAGTGACGCGTTTCATGATATTTCTCACGCGAGAGTTTTCCTTTCCGTTCGCTTCTTAACGGGGAAAACTTACAAAACTTATTTCCAAGTTATATGGAATTTACGAGAGAGTTCGTTATCGCGATCCTTTTCCCGTCGACGTTTCTCCGTCACGGTGTGTGCGTCGAGGGAGCGATGGAATTTTCTCCCTAACGAGGACGATATTTTCGCGCTCGGTCGCGCGCGTGAAATAATAAAAAAGGAACTTTCAGGATATATACATATATATATATATATTTTTTTTTTTTTCTCGTCTCTATAATACATTCGTCGTATAAAACAGCGGGCGACATTACTTTCGTGACCGCGATGACACGCCGGCACGCTACGGCGTTTAATCCCGGCACGCTTGGCGTGCGTGGCGAGCGAGATCGGGGCTTTATACTGTAATCGTAATAATTATCATATAAAGCGACGCTGTTTTGTTCGAGCGGGTACAAATTTCAGGCTGTTATCGCAAACGCGGAGACGTGTTGTATACACGTGCCGGCGATAAGAGTCCGTTAATGAATCTGCCCGCAGAGACGATCACGCTTCGCGGTGCGTTACAAAGGTACGCGATTAATTTATTCGCGTGAGGGATTTTGTCCTGGATTTTGAATTGAATTATCGAGATTTGAGATGGATCTTCCCTCTCTCTTTATACTTTTTTTTTTATTTTAAATTAATTATATTAAGAAACTCTCGTGCGTTTCATTCAGAACTCGCCAACTTTTATCTCCAAGAAGTTTTCCGCTCCCCCTTTTAATCGTGTTTTAAAATAATTAAAATATTCCTTATTCTTGTACACGTTAGAATTTTTTCTTCGTTTCGATAGTATCTACGGCCGTAGATATTTCGCTCTCATTTTCAACGTATCTAAAGTACAATAGTGAATAATTGAACTGTACCTTTGAAACGAGGGGCAACTTGTTAAAATTCTTCGCGAACGTCTTACAGCTTTTATAATCGCGATAATCATACACAAGATACCGTGATTATTATTATCCGTCGAATAACGATCGGCTTCGAATAAGGCTGTCCCTCTCCTGTCCCCTCCCCCGGCTGTTAAGAGCGACGGAAAATATAGCTGTTGGCGGTTGACTGTATGAAAGGGGTGGACTGTGTACGCGTCTCGTAAGATTTCCTCGCGAGATCTCCCGTCGTCGAAGCCGCGGCAGAGCGCGAGCGCCGTCCTTAAGTGGGACACTATTTTAAATTAATTATATTAAGAAACTCTCGTGCGTTTCATTCAGAACTCGCCAACTTTTATCTCCAAGAAGTTTTCCGCTCCCCCTTTTAATCGTGTTTTAAAATAATTAAAATATTCCTTATTCTTGTACACGTTAGAATTTTTTCTTCGTTTCGATAGTATCTACGGCCGTAGATATTTCGCTCTCATTTTCAACGTATCTAAAGTACAATAGTGAATAATTGAACTGTACCTTTGAAACGAGGGGCAACTTGTTAAAATTCTTCGCGAACGTCTTACAGCTTTTATAATCGCGATAATCATACACAAGATACCGTGATTATTATTATCCGTCGAATAACGATCGGCTTCGAATAAGGCTGTCCCTCTCCTGTCCCCTCCCCCGGCTGTTAAGAGCGACGGAAAATATAGCTGTTGGCGGTTGACTGTATGAAAGGGGTGGACTGTGTACGCGTCTCGTAAGATTTCCTCGCGAGATCTCCCGTCGTCGAAGCCGCGGCAGAGCGCGAGCGCCGTCCTTAAGTGGGACACTTGGCGAAGCGCACTTGATAGCGGTTCTGAATAAATGATGTAAACTCGAGCGCGTTGGCTCGCGTCCTAGTGTGTTTCGCTTCATACACACAATAGTGTGCCTCTACGCGATATTTCCGCGACGCTTCACCCCGTCCCTCGAACGCGAATGGAACACGCGTGGTCCACGCGGAATCTGACCTCTACGAGAAATCTCGTGCTCCTTCAGCACCGTGGACTCTTACTTCGGTCCGATTTTAAGTTATACAAGAGCGTCTGCGATGTCTTTGCCCGGGCGCTTGTTTCGAGAACGAGAGAGAAGGTAATAGGGAGCGTTTGTGTTGGACGTGAATTACCTAGCTACGTCGAGGAATGCGATTTCTCCGAAGCAATTCTCAAGCGTGCGAGAACAATCAAACGTACTTGGCGCTCAACAGGTGTCATACACAAGACAATCGCGGAGCGCGGTAAGTAACGCAGTCGAGGGCCTCGATAGTTCGATGAATCTCAACCCCTGTCATTTCCGTTTACATCTGTGATGGGTGTAGGGTCGCGCGATCGATTATTCGATCCGAAAGAGATCGCCGGTTGCGTTCAAAAGACGCAACACGGTCGTGCTATCGCAACGAAATTTCGTCTTGGATTGTCTACGATTGGGGTGAATAATTCTCTCTACCTTACGTTTTCTATAAAAAACCGATCGCCCTCAATAACGTCGCTTTCTCTAAATTGACGCAAGACTTCAGAGACGGAACGTGTATAATATAATACTCACACGTAGCGCCGAGCAGCTGCGGCAGGTATTTCTTCCAGAAGGCGCACTGTCTCACCCTGGGCCCGCTGCCGATCTCCGTGCTGTTTATGTCCAAGGTCAGGTACTCTTTGTTAGCGACGGTGTGCTGCGGCCAGTAAGCCGACGACCATCCACCGGCGTCGCCCACATTCGGATCCCTGGCCGATCATACAAATCACACGCCTGAATATATCGCAGTCCTGACGCGGCACCGAAATATCTCCGAGTAATGAAAATTTTGAGATATATAATACATACGGTAATATACATACATGACTAGATAATTCATGTCGTTGATAATGAACTTAATCTATCCACATCATAATTAGATTGATCAGAAAATATTTGTATTTTATCCGTGTAAGTCTAATTAATAAAAAATAAATAATAATTCATCAATCAATCTAATTATATATTCAACTTCAAATTTTCTACACAAATATATTTCTAAATTATAATATAATTATTTATTACGTATTATATACGCGTGTGTATAAATTTTTTAAATTTTTATATAGATTTTATAGATTATTACTTTTCCAAAATTAGTATGTAATTATATATA